GAGACCGGTGAGTGGTGCAGGTGTCGCTCATTATCAATTACTTCACCGGCCACGCTCCATTCCCACAGCTCTTGGCCCCGCCCCCACTCGTCACAGTCTCATTCACTAATAATTGCATAGATTGATTTGTATTTGTACGAACACGTTAACTTCTCACAAAAAATCTCCTCCTAATTCACAACACATTTGTACATTAATTTATTCTTAACATTGTTGAGTATTCTAAACGAGAGGCCACGTACACGAGGATTGCATAAAGCACAAACATCAGAACGATGTTAAGAACACATTTTTTTCCCCTCAAAATTATTTTTTGGCATACTCGCCCGATCCTCAAGCAATGCCAAGTGTGTCATTCTCACCAGTTCTCACAATAAACTCCCAAGACCCAGCTTACAGATCTCTCATTAGCCAGCTGTACATGCAGGTATATCTGCGTTATTCAGAGAAACTTTACAGCTGACGTTATAATGCAGCTTTTCTCACTCGTCCACTGTATATGATGGAATGCATTTAAGATTAAATTAAAATGTAATATTTAATAATATTATTATATTCAATTCAAGTTTATTTGTATAGCGCTTTTCATGATACAAATTGTTGCAAAGCAGCTTTACAGGAAATTAAGTTTCTACAATATATTTAGTAGTAGCTTATCAGTGGTGACTATGTCAAGTTGATGTGCACATGGCAAAAATGTACGGTACAAATCATACTAAATATAATTTATATTTATATAAAATATAATTTATATACAGGATCTCACAGAAGTGAGTACACCCCTCACATTTTTGTAAATATTGTATAAGAGCATGATCCCCTCCCTTTCGAAACTGGGCCGCAGGACAGTATTCCAACATGATAACGACCCCAGACACACCTCCAAGACGACCACTGCCTTGCTAAAGAAGCTGAGGGTAAAGGTGATGGATTGGTACTCACTTTTGTGGCCAGCGGTTTAGACGTTAATGGCTGTGTGTTGAGTTATTTTGAGGGGACAGCAAATTTACACTGTTATACAAGCTGTACACTCACTTCTTTACATTGAAGAAATGACACTTTGCTACAGTGTTGTCACATGAAAAGGTATAATAAAATATTTACAAAAATGTGAGGGGTGTACTCACTTCTGTGAGATCCTGTATATTGATTATATAATTACTGCAACACATTTCAATATATACTAATTATAGTCATGTTAGGATGAAATAGAACTCCTTAACTCAATACAGAGTAAGTGCTTTTTACGTAACGTGTGGTTTCAGATGTTCCTATTATGACATTTTAGGTGAATCGTGATTAGTTCTTAAAAATCTTTCATTTCACACATAAATTTGTGCATAAGCATGCTTACTGAATGAGACCCACATTTTTTATGGCTGATCAAATGAATCGGCCAGCGGTCAACTGAATTGCAATAACTATCAACTCTGCAACAGATATTAATATCCAAAGTATAGTGAAAACACTATTTTTAGCATGGTAACGATCAGCAGTTTAAGACATTAACTTATAAGCAGAAAACACAAGATATTTTTCTTTTAATATATATACGACTTTATTGGACACAGTATCTAAAGACTTATCTCCTCATGATGGTAGAGGAGCACCAGATATATAGTAAGCTCGCAAACACACTGAAAGAACAGTCAAAGAACACAAAAAGCAAGTGTTATGTGACATATGTTATGTGTACATATGAACTATTGAACAAATACATTCCAAAGCAGGATCTGGAGATTCCCCACACGGCCATCAAGAGGTCGTAAAATGGACTAACTCCAACAACACGACTCCTTGTCTGGATCGACTTCCTGTCACACTCTGCGTTAGGGATATAAAACAGTGATAAATTTTAACTCAATCAACTAAGGAGAAAACGCCCTCTGTTTGGAACCAGTGAAGCAACAGATGGTCAGTGTTAACTCATGACCAGCTACGCATAAACTGATAAATCGAAGAGACAGGAAAGACAGATTTACATCTGACACGACTGAGCCGGGAGGATCCATACAGTGTGACTTTCTTGACCTCAGGACATTTGCATATCTCTTGCCCTGCAAATTCCAAAATGCACTCTCTCTATCTCCAACAAAGGAACACATGAACTCATGCAGATGATTTTAAAAGACAATCAGTTATTACCATTGCTACTAGAGCAAATATATTCACAAGTAGTGTGTTTATGTCTCTTATATGTTTTGTGTAACCTGTAAAGTTTAGTAGCCTATGTTTTTATACCCCTGTTAGTAGATAAAGTTATTAACTGTACCATGTTTATGCAAGATACCTGAAATTTGATGTTGAATGAAAGCTTGTTTTATTTCCAGAAAAGTGACATGAATGAAAGTTAGGTACGATGCACAGTGTTTGTATTACAATACTTTATAGCAGTTATTAACAAAATCTCACAGAGATGTTACCCACGTGACAGATGGAGCATTGTGTTCATTTATGCACGAAGAATAGTAATATGCAGCAACATCTGATTGGAACACCGCTTCGTGGGAAGGACTTAAGCGGCTCGCTTAAAACACAGTGACTGGAGCAATTCATTGCTCTTGCCCCCTTTCGCTTTCCATTTGACTGCGCTCTCACTTGCACTCACTCGCAGTACCATTACAAGATTGGGTCATCCAGAATTTCTAACACACCGTTGAAGCTTCGTGGCCCTGCAGAAATTTTCAGTCTTTGTGCCTCGCAACTCAGACCCCTCCGTCACACTGCGTAACCAAGCAACCACCAACCTGAAGCTCCATCCGGCAAGAAACAATCCATTCACCATCGAGTGTTTTCCCAGAAATGTCATCCAAATGACCAATCGGCAACCAACCAGTGACGGGATTCCCTCTGCCAGAAAAGGAGACCCCGCCCTCAGCACGAACGCAAGTATCAGACAAGATGATCTTCTCTCGCTGAAACTGGTGCTAAATCTTCTTAAGCACCTAAAAGCCAAATCTCTGCTTTTGTGATTTTCTCATTTTGCAATATAAGAACTAGGTGCAAATACTAGACTTTTGGGACTCCATTCAAAATTCCGTATTCTCATTCTCTCAACTGTGTGTGTGTGTGTGTGTGTGTGTGTGTGTGCTTTTAGTAATGTAGTTTTCATGTATCTTAGAGTAGCTCGAATAAATTCTTGTTTCATTCCAAAGAGCAGTGTCTTGTGTTATGTGTTTATAAAGCTAGTCTAATGCCCAGATCTCGTTTACAGAGCTCACAGTTAACCCTCTGGGGTCTGAGGGTGTTTTGGGGCCCTGGAGAAGTTTTGACATGCCCTGACATTTGTGCTTTTTTTAGTATCTTAAAAACATATTAAAGGGTTAGTTCACCCAAAA